TCCAGAATTTAAGTAGGCAGCCAGATATGCCTTTCTATAGGAAAAATATATATCAACATCACAGTTTAGATTCTAGAGTCATAAAAAATAAAAAAAAACAATGGGAGCCATTTTAAATTAATTCATACCTAATTGAAAATGATAAATTTATTAACATGTTTTTTTCTGTGATCTTGTCTTCATATTATTTTTTTAATTTATTTATTTATTAAAAATTTCCACCTCCTCCCCTCCTCCCATTTCTCTCCCCCTCTCCCCTACTCCCATTCCCCCTCACTCTCCAATCCTAAGAGCAGTCAGGGTTCCCGCCTTGTGGGAAGTCCAACGCCCTCCAGTCTCCATCCAGGTCTAGGAAAGTGAGCATCCAAAGAGACTAGGCTCCCACAAAGCCAGTCCATGCAGTAGAATCAAAACCCAGTGCCATTGTCCTTGGCTTCTCAGTCAGCCCTCATTGTCAGCCACATTCAGAGAGTCTGGTCTGATCACATGCTCCATCAGTCCAAGTTCTGTTGGCCTTGGTGAGCTCCCATTAGATCAGTCCCACCGTCTCAGTGGGTGGACGCACCCCTCGAGATCCTGACTTCCTTGTTCATGTTTTCTCGCCTTCTGCTCTTCACTTGGACCTTGGGAGCTCAGTCAAGTGCTCCAATTTGGGTCTCTGTCTCTATCTCCTTCCATTGCTGGATGAAGGATCTGTGGTGATATGCAAGATATCCGTCAGTGTGGCTATAGGATAAGGCCAGTTCAGGCACCCTCTCTTCTACTACCCAAGGAACAAGCTGTGGACATTTCTTTGGACACCTGGGAACCCCTCTAGAGTCAATTCTCTTGTCAACCCTAAAATGGCTCCCTTAGTTAAGATATCTACTTCCCTGCTCCCTTCCTCCATCCCAACCATCCCATTCCCCCAGGCTCTCCCCAATCCTCCCCTTCTCCCTTCTCTCTCCCCATCTCCCCTTACATCCACCCTCCCACCCCCGTGCACTCAACTTTTGTCTGGCAATCTTGTTTACTTCCAATATCCAGGAGGATAACTATATGCTTTTCTTTGGGTTCACATTCTTGTTTAGCTTCTCTAGGACCATAAATTATAGACTCAATGTCCTTTATTTATGGCTAGAATCCACTTATGAGTGAGAACATATTCCTCTTTTTGGGTCTGGGTTATCTCACTCAGTAAAGTGTTTTCTATTTCCATCCATTTTCATGCAAAATTCAATGTCAATTCCCAGGACATACACAGCATCTTATAACCACCTGTATCTTCATTTCTAGGGAAACCAATGCTTATCTTGAGTAATAGGCACATACGTAATGCATATATATATATACACAGGCAGGAAATGAAACACACAGGTATAGTAACAAATAACAATAAAATAAAATAAATGAATAAAAAGAATACCCAGATATAAATCCACAAATATAAAGCCATCTAATATTTAACAAAGCAATAAAAACACATAACTGAGAAAATATATGTTCTTTAATAAATACTGTCAATGAAACTTTTTTCTAAATTTAGAACAATGAATTGAGATCTATATTTCTCATTTTATATATAAAATTAATACAGAAATTTAATAGTAAGTAATAATGTATGAAAGATCTGAAATCTAAAAAACAAGATGACATTGAACATAAAGGTAACAATTATATAAAAAAATGACCTAGTAATCAGAAATAATCCCAATAATGAATAAGTGGTATTATATTAAATTAAATATTTTTGCACAGAAATAAATGTAATCACCACAGTGAAGAAAGACCTTGTAGAATCTTAGAATTCACCAGAAAGTAATGGCTATAGATAAAGAGATACAGAATTACAGCATTTCCTTTTCTCTAATCTTTCTTGACCCTTCCCATATATATCTGCAAGGTCTTCTCAAATTTATGTTTTTTTGTTCTCCAATAATATTGTTATAATACTACACATGTATTATATATATTTTTCTGAAATGTATTCTCATAACATTAGAGAGTTGTCATGTTTACCAAATATATTATACAGTGTGCTCTCTGTACTGAAAGATATTAAATTTGAGGTAATTTATTTTGGTGGAAGATATGATACATACCACAAATGGAAACTATTACTCAAAGGGCTTAAGGGGCTATGGGAAATCAGAGTCTTTTATTTTTATATTATTCACAAAATTCTGAGTCTTTTTAACAGACAGTTTATCAATGAAAAGCTTATCGATGATAAACTTAATGTAGTCATAGTGTTAGCCTGGAGTCAGTCATCCATAAGAATCTGATGGACTCATTCTCCCATTCACCTCTGGCAAGTACAGACATTGTTAACTTCCTGTACCAAAAAAGTCTTGTGGAAATGCCTCGAGATAGTAAAGACCAATGACTTCTGGGTAACTGCTTTTGTACAAAATCCAGATTTTCTGCTGTGTTCAAAGACCTAACAAGAGTGACTTTTCTAAGGAAGGTTTGCGTAGCTTGTATTTAAGTGGACACAGTTCACCGTGTCAGGGGTTGTCACACTGATTTGTCACATTGCTTCCACAATCAAGAAACAGGGAGGTAGATGCTGTTACATTATTTCTTCTTTCCTTTATATGCAGTTTGAGTCACAGTTCATGAAATGGGGTCTTCAAATTTGAAGGCAAGTTTTTTTTTCAGGTAGCCCCATGGTGATAATATAATATAATATAATATAATATAATATAATATAATATAATAT